AATAACCTGCAAGAAATATAATTTCACATCTTATTGTGAAAATTCAAATACGGCCACTTGCTGTCCCTTGGATTACTGGTCAAGTAATGACCACTAGCCACTAGGCAACAAAATCAAAACACACTAAGCAGAAAGATTTGAAGAAGGTTCATACAACCATGGTAGATCAGGCTCAGATGCAAGTAGGCAGTGGGGCTAACAGAAGAGCATTAAAATGTCATAGTCTTCAGGAAACGGCGATCTAGACGATTCTGTTAAAATGTTGTGACTGGAGGATGTCTTTAAGACAATTAGAGGAAATGGGGTGAGGTCCGATATACTTCTTGAAGAAAATGTAGGATAGCTGGGACTTTGTCTCACCATGCTCAAGAAAACCCTTCATAAACATACTAAAATAAAAACAAGATTTTGAGTCTGTATAAAGTGGAAAAATCAAGGAAAATTGAAAGTAAAACCAGTACATGTATGTGTCAACAATTATACAACATGTACAGCACAGTCCAGTGGAGATAGCTCCTTCCCTCAACAGCGTCTCCTTAGGAGTCAGCCTAAGAGCATGAAGTTAATTTTGAGCAACAGTAAAGACATTTTGGTGCAAATAATTGGCATGCCTTTGCATTAATCCAAACTTGCTTGAATTGCAGTGGCAATAGGATTCTGCTGACAAGTAAGCTGAGTCAAAGGAAACAAGCATACAAAATAAAGGAAGGTTCCACTGAAGAGCAAACATCATCAGCATTGCTGGGTGTTTGTACATGGTACCAAAAGGGGTAAAGACCAGCAAACACACCAATGGAAGGGATTCTCAGATGTCTGTAGTAATGCTGGAAGACCTCTGCCTTATGTACTTTGATTCTGAAATAATCTTGTACACAATGAACACAACCAGTGACGTAGGCAAACAGACTAGCAATTTTTTTTGCAGGCTTGGAAATTTTATACTATCCTCTTATTTGTATCATGCTTTTTAGAAATGAACAGGATACTATGAAGTCTAACCCAACCTGTTTGCGGTTGATATTTATGCATAACTTTCTTTGCTTCGGTCTTGCTCTCTATAAGCTTGCTGGTACATATAGGGGACCTCGACAAAAGTCTGTAGACTACAATTAGAATTCTAGTGGTGCCTTAGGGAAATGGAATTTTTGTGAGTTTTAAATGCAGTTTTAATTCAACACGATAAGTAAACCAAAGTTTGTGCCCTTTGACAGCCTGCTCCCAAGCCACCCAGATATGAATGTAACTGTAATACAGTAACAACCAATGATCAGAATATGACCAGCATGATGTTTATACATGAGTGGGACTGGTATTAGGCAAAATCAAAAGCAGGGTTGCAAATTTTAAGTATTTCTGGCAAAGAGCAGAATGTTTTTGCTGGCAGAGGTCCTTAACCAAGCATTGAAAGGTTTATTTGCAGCTTTATAAACTGATATAGCAACTTAAATTAAAAGTACAATATCATGTCTCTCCTTCCCACCTCCCAAACTAAAATTATTTTTACCTGGATTCTTCAGACAGTTGAGAGATTACATTGCAAAGAAACTTATGACCAGGAAAACAAAAGTTCAACTCACTGTTTTGAAAAAGTTCCAAATGGTAGGCACTACTCCACTGGCATGAAGGAAAATCTCCCTCCCCCTATCAAGAATTTGTGAAAAATGTTCTGGTTTATATCTTATTATGTTCCTAGCTTAGAAGACAAGACCCTTATTTTATAATTGCATACCGAAGAAACATAAAACCCATTATGGAGGAAACTTTCACACTGTGAATATCTCTCCATAAGAAAAGTATCACCAGTCCTTTCTTCTGAAAAATAGGTAAAGGAGAGGAATCTTTCTGGTAATTGCAAGCTTCCTTAAAATTCAGTGGTAGAAGAGTTAAACAAAATACTTCTCTGAAGGTAAATATTTTAAAATTTTGAAATAAAACGTCATCCTTCATGAACAAATCCATAATACTCTGCAGTTCACAGGGACAGGACGTTGGTAGAGGAGGCTTGGGGAATCCCATGCATCTGACTGTAGGATGGACTGAAAAATCAAGGACAGAACTCATGTTGGTGTAATTGCAGTGGTAGCAGCAAACTGCTGATGATGACCCCAGTCTCCAGGTGCACCAATGTCACAGAAGACTGGTTAACTGAACTACTCAGAATAAATTTCTTAACTCAGCTGGTAAGAAGCAAGTAGAATATTCAGTTCCCAGAGACTACATTTTACCTGGCAATAAGTTATTACAGAGAACATGACAATGATAATGTAAAATAGCAAAGAAGGAAGGAGTACTGTTCATATTCTTTTTTATGAACACAACACGCACACACACACACACATGCACAAATGCTTCTTAAAGAGAAAAAATTTAATTAAACATTAGCTCGTTTAAGAGAGTATGAGGACTGTCTTTGTTTTACGGATGTCAGACTTGGTGGTTTGGTATGAGGCAAAAATTACATGACTGGATTGTTGCAGAGCTACAAAGCAAACAGAAGAAACAGGATGTATACTTGCTTGCTTGCAAGCATTCTGGCTAGTATCTTAATGAGTTCACAACTTCCAAAAGATTCAGCTTTCTTGCAGGTATTTAAGACAAAATTTTTATTTCCTGTTATTTCACTTTTCTGTGAGCTACAATAAAAATTTGAGGGTCTCATTTTCATTTACCCATGGATCCTTCCATACTACCTGGACTCCACTGTAACTGAGAATAAAGTCTCTAATATTCATTTTTTTTAATATAAAACAAATTAAGTTTTAATGTCCCAAGGTCCCAGGATTCCAAGATGTAACTAACTGGTAGTCTTAAAGGAAACAAATCTCTAGAAACAGATGCATCTAGTAAGCAGCCTATTGCTAGGTTTCTTCCTCTGAGAAGTACTGTATTATAAGCCCTAGAGGATCATACGGCCCAGGGGAATAAGGTCATAGCATCTACATTAGTACACTTCCTAATTATTAACAATAATTTTATAATTTCATTCCATTTCATGATCATTTTCTCAAAGATGATGAGCTAATTATTCATTAGGTACTTAGAATATGTAAGGAGGCACATGTACCTTGCCAAATATTTTGTCAGATATAGTCTGTTGAGGAATTGCCAAATTACATAGGTATGTCTTCTATAACATCAGTTTTTTCAGTTCTCTCATCAAAAGATCCGCTCTTGCCTTTGGGCTCATCTTAGATGTTCTGTTATTTATCTTCTTTAGTGATATTTTCAATTGAGTTACCTGACTATGGAGGAATTTTCACATGTTAATTCATTTATGAATACTACTTCTGCATCACACTCTTAAGAAATGAGCTGAAAATGATGAGCTCTCAAGCTGTAAGTAAAGAGTTTCAAAAATAAAACATTTTCAAAATCTATAAATATCAAATAGACAATGTAGTATTTGTAGAGAAACAATTAAATTAGTTTTCCCAAAGATAAAATGCATTGATCTAATCGCTAAGGAAGAAATGTTTGTGGGTTTGGATTTTTTTTTCAAGTTGAAAAGGAAAGTAGCAATAGCTTTATATGTACAATTCAAATTTAAGTAAAAAAAAAAGTTGTAATTTAGCCTACATTTGTGCCTCTGAAATACCACAAGTTTGGCTAAGTTACTGGAAAATTTATCAGAATCACTTAAGACAGGAAACTAACATCGAACAGCTTCCTTAGTAGTTCCAAAAGACAGAAACACCAGTTAACTCCAGCCATCTTTAGTCACAAAAATCCATCATCTTTAGCATTTCTCAGCCACTCTTACTCATTTGCCTTTATCCTTCAATCTTTCTTTAAATCCCATTTGGTATCTATGCTCATTTTTACTGATTGTCTATTTAATACTACTAACAGGCAATTTATCTTTGTTTTCCACAGCAGTTTTCAACTTTGATTCTGTTATTCTTTGTCAAGACACAGGATAGTTTTTCAACTGAGGAACACATAACTGGAAGGGATCTACAGGATCAGTCCTGCAAGTAATGTCAGAGAGAACTACTTTGTTAATTCCTTTACATACCAATCAAGTTCCATCTTACTCACCACTATTTCAATTGGAAGACTGTTGCTGAACTTCACACCGCTAGAGATTTCTTTTTACTTTTCAGCCTAAAATTTATTCATGGTCAAGCACATCCATTCGTTATGTCAACACTGTCCTCGGTCTATTCATAAATATAATTAAATAACCTTTTAACTTTTGCTTTGTTAAGGTCAACCAGCCATGCTTTTTTGATCTTTACTCATGTGGCATTGTCTAAGCATCTGAATAGTGAACATTTCTGCACTTCCAGTATTCCAGATTGGATTGCACTAGAACCTGTATAATGTTATATCTATTTGGAAATAATCTCTTGGTATCTCCTACATTTTTTTCATATATATATATATACACACACACACACAACACCCCCAAATCTACAAATTTGTTTGTAAACTTGTTTTATAAATTATCTCTTTTCTTAATAGAGAGCAGACTAGCAACAGATTTCAAAACACTAAGAATTACTAACAATTTTTTGTCATGCATAAAAATTCATCCTTGTGTATGTTTTCTTGGAATCTACTATTTTTGGGGGTAAATTGTTAGATTTTTTTAGAGTACCCTAGATTCACGGGTTCTATAAATGGGATAACCTGAAGTATTTTACTTAAAAGCAACTACATGCAATGCCGAAATGATAAATGGCCATCTACAACACCCAAAAAAAAAATTTTTCGGAAAAGAAACACAGAAGGTAAAAGAACAGTGCTAGAAAGTAAATGTAAGAAATTGAGCCACTTGAAACCCACTGTCCACAGAACGGAGAAACACTGTGCCACTAGCAGTTGTTGTACTACATAATGGGTGTTTAAAAATTCAATGAAACTCCAGCTACTTTTTCCTTTGTGAGTTTTGTGGTTTGTTTTGTTTCTCTTTAATCAAAGGCAACGTCCAGAAACATTATGAGAATCTGTTCATGGCATTGTTTTACAGAAGTTCCTAACAGACAGTGACTATTTTATTGTTGGATGTATCCTTTATTTTATTAATGATGAGAAGTTATCAATGGAATGCTAAAAATAAACTTGTAAAGAAATCTAGTCTGAAATCTGAATCTGTTGTTTGAAGCAAGTTCAGTAGTCACGGTAACACCAGTTAAAGATTGACTCTTGCCCATTGTGAAATAGGCATGGCTCTTCTAAAAAGGTCACAATTTTTTCAAATATAGGCACCATGTTTTAAATTTTGCACATACAAAATATGTTCATGTCACTCAAATTACACAATGTGGCAGTGTTATAAGTCTGAACATTATTGTCAATTAATGGCAGAGAAAAGAGCCCAAAGCTCACGTAAGACTAATGACTGGGACAAATCCTGAAAAGAGACAAAAAGTATAAAACAACAGTTTTCCTGTTGTATGTGGTTTTGTGTGTGCATGTGTGAGAGTGCATATAACAAAAAACGTTTAAGAGTAAGTTCAGATAATAGCCCATCCATTTGTTCTCAGCTTCTTATCCAGTTTCATTGCTAAAGGCTTTGATTTTGACTGCACGTTAAAATGCAAATTCAGATCCCATATAAACCATTAGTTAGTGTGTTGACTGGTTTGAACCAATCAAAATTGAGAATTACTGCCGAATGTCTTCCTTTTAATCTACTTGTCAGCCTCTGGGTATGTAGGATACTTGACTGTCTCAATCTTCTCCTTAACTTTATAGGACGGGTATAGGCCTGTTCTTCCTAATTTCCTATTGATGCCTTTTGAATAACCATCCCAGTGGTTTCCAGCTACTCCAATTATATCTCCAGGTTCCATAGGAATTTCATCAGCAGTTCGTGGATGATGAGCATAAATAGCAATCTGGTTGTGGGCATTCTGTCCCCCAAAGTAGTAGATATCATCCAAAGAATGGAAATACGCTGAAGCATCTGGATGCAATGTCTGCATAATTTCATAGGCAACTCGACAAACCTTAGAAATAAAAACAGAAGAGAAGTCATAAATATTGTGTGTGCCTGCAATATACCACAGAAGTCAGCAACCAATGTGTAACAATTAAATTTCACAAGAGGACCAAGTTTTGGAATGTCCAGGTAAAAACAAAACAAAAACCTGCATATTCACTAACAAGAAGCATACAATTTTGCAGCATTTTAATTAGCACTCAGGTGATCAACTTTGGTAAATAAATAGATAATTAGAACAGACTACTTTTCAGTAAAAATTGAAAACATCCATATGAACACTAGCCATCCTGCTTTTTAAAATGAATGATATGTAGCCAATCAAATGTAAAAGCATTATCTTCCTTTTCTGCTACTAAGAAAAACTGTATGTTACATCCTTTTGAAACTTTAGAACTTACATTTTCAAAATTTATTCTGCATTAATGAGGCTTTACATTTACTTTTCTAAAGGAAGCTCCAATTACCACAATCAAGCAGTTCCAGAAGTCCAAGGCTTTAAAACGCTGTTAATATTAGAACAGTGATAGAATTATGACTGTTGGCAACTTGGAAGACAACTAAATTAAATTGAACTCCAGCAAGACAATAATGATGTTGGTGAAGAGAAAGATGCATTTGGAAGTGTCATTGTATCACATTTTACGAAGGGAATTTTCTTCAGACTGAAAACAGGTCCCCACATCAGAATTGTGTTGTATCTCTCAGAGCTGCCAGAAACACAAAAGGCTGCCACTAGATTAAATAAAGCTCCTTTCAACAATTGGCTAGAAAGCTCTCCTCTGTCAGGTGTCTGATTTAGCCACTGTGACCTTTCTGACTTCTAATCTACATTATTGTATCTTTCTCTGATTTTGCGTAAGCTTGATCAAGCTTGATTAACAATACAGCAGGCTTCTTCAATATGAAGAAGCATTTGAGCTTTTTCATAATTTTCAGTCTATGTAAATATAGTGAAGCTTGATTTTACTTTTCTTTTCTACTTCTCAAGATACGGGAGAATAGAACTTTGATCAGTCAAACTAGACATATTTGTACTTTCCTAGCTTCTTTGAGAGAGGCATTTGCTTTAAAAATGTAATAGATTTCCTTTTATCCCTCTCCATCTGATCTTTGTAATAACTTTTCAGAAGTAGCTTCAGAAGATCAGGCTGAAGTTAATTATTTCGAAGTACTTATTATACCCCGTAATATAGAAAACAAATATGAATACCCATACATTGGTAAGAAGTTATTTATTTTATAGCTTCTGTGACTGTTTTTGATGTTTTGTTCTTTGCATGTCTGTGCACCCCAGGAGGAGGATACACACACACTCTGTAAAAGATTTTAAATCTTTTCAGCAGAAATGCTTTTTAGTGAGTGTAAGTATCCTGCATACCTGACATAAAACATACAACATCTCCCCTCAGCAATTGTTTCCTTTGTAGCGCCAAACCTGGGTAACTAAACTATAAGCTGCTGAAGGCAGTAGGCAAAGAATCCACATGCAGAATTATAGTTAAAGCCAGCCTCCCATTTTTTATTCATAGATTCACTTGTTTTGCAGCCTGTATACTTACATGTACAATGCAAAATACAAAGACTAGTAAGTCCTGGAAGAAATGAGATTATGAAGAAAAATATCTCAGGCAGAGGGAGCTACAATTTCATCTAAATAAATACTGAAGACACAAAAAAGCTCTTTGTTTAATGTGCAATCTTAATTCTATTACTGTGTTCTGATTTCTATAACTACCATGTGGCTTTTCTATACATCTCAATTAATGTGATGTTGCTGAAATATAGTGCCAAGGTAGGTTGTTTCCCTTGACTCCACATCACTTGATAGGCCTTATTTCTTTAACGGCAGTATTTTTATGAAATATCTGTTCTTCAGCTTATATCAGGATTCATTCAGTTTTGGCAGCATAAATAAGAATTAATATAGGGATCTTCCTAAAGCGCCTGATTCTATTCATATATACTGTAATTTTCTCTTACTACCTCTGTAATGAAGTTTTGACTCTTCTGGCAAGGAAAAGAAAATGGAAAAAAGTCAGCATACAATTGATAAACGCAAAAGTCCAAAATCACACTGGAAATAAATTAGACTACATTCTTATCCTTACTTTCTCTTCATACAGATTGGACAAAAGATGGTCATTAACAGCCTGATTTTGCTTACCTTCAATGCCAAAGTAATTACCAAACTGTTTATTTCATTGATGAAAGGAACAGGGATAGTAGTTCAAATGTTAGATATCAGAGGATCAAAATTTTAAACCCATAAAAGAGAAATCTTTCTGAACAGTGGGAAAACTTGCAACAGACCTTAGAAAAGCCCAATATGTGAAAACACTGGAGAGATCCACATTGTTGCATGACCAGCAAAACTGATGCTAAATGATTTTTAAGCAGTTTGAATTATTAAAGCACAAGAAATTGCCCAGAATAAATTAAGTAGATGGTTGGACCAAATTCATAGTCCCAGCTATTAACAGGCTAATACAGGATTTCCTAGACTTCAGTAGAATTTTCTGCAGCTCTGGAAAACCAAATATGTCATCCTGCAAACACATCTATTGTCAAACCCAGGGAGATGCAGAATGAGACTGGAGCTCAAAGATACCATGTACCTCAAAAGTACCCTCAAAGGGGTTTGTACCAGACGACCTCCAGAGGTCCCCATCAACCTATATCACCTTAACTATGTCAATGTATTTTAACATAGAATCTTCTTTTGAAATTACTCCAACACTTACAATTCAATTACAATATATTCTGTCCAAGCCATTTGTACCTGTATTTAAGTGTTTCTTCTACGTTTATACCCAGTGTTTTATTTATAGCAAACATTTACCACTTAACACAGCTATCTGAATATAATAATAGCAGAAAATGTTACAGATTTCTTATTAAATTTTTATCCAAGACCACATAATTCTTCCTTCAGAATATGAACTGTCTTGAGACCAATGCATCTGTGGCATTTAAGACATACAGCCCTAGGTCTTGGCTGATGATCACCTCTTTCACTATGATATGCATTCAGTGGACATACTTCAGCTGAATCAAACATTATTATAAAAGTAGATGGCTCCTCACAGGCTTTTCTTAGTGAGGATTTTTACTTTGGATTCATGTCTTGGTCTGAATTAGCCTATATTAATAACCTTCTAAATATGCTATAAAATGTCATTTTCTTCACAGGGTTTGGTGAACAGTGAAAAAACTGTATCCACAAGCATGACTGAGGGATAAGAGGATTTTTCTGGTTTTGCTGTCTTCTTGCCATGGTAATGTTATTAAGAATTCTGGCTGCCAAGGTCAATATATTACTGTGTTGATCATATATTAGTAATAATATTATGCTTGTTACCTATCTAGTTGTCATTACAGTGCAGAAGACAATTTACATTTGAGGTTGTGGAAAACATTTCTTTTTGAAGTGAATTTTAACTTCCAGTTTTGTGTCCACTTCCATGTAATAGTACAATCATCTGTGATCATAATCTATCGCCATCTATTGTTGAATGCTTTCCTAACTAGGAGTGTCACCTAAGAGCATATATGACAACAGTAGGTAAAAAACATTCACTCTGTTTGATTTCAATCATATTTTGCCATACTTGAATTAGGTAGATCAGTGACAGAATACTGCTTTCTGATCTTTTTTAATATTAAAACAGCTTTTTAAAACAGCTTTTCATGATATATGAAATTAATATACAATATGACATAATAAAGAAGAAAATGCCAACGATGACAATTATATGATTCAGTTTTCTAATGGACTCCGACTTGCTTCATCAGACCACTCAAGAAAGGAAGCTTGTAGCATATAATTATCTGCAACAAGAAGTCTCTATGAATTACAGTGGTCAGAATTCACATTTATTGCACTGCTGCTGGATTGCTAGAAATCTAATAGACTGAAGAGAAAATAAATGTCTGCTTTCTTCATTCTTTTCCATTCCCACAATCACTTAAGGCAACAGCAGACGTGTTTGAACTGTAGTAGAGTGCAATGATGTGTAGAAATGGATGGACACAAGTTATATATTAACTTTATGCAAAATTAAGAAGTGTTAAACATGTTTAAAATTATTTTTACTTATTTTAAATGCCTTAACTAAGCTGCATAAAAGTGGATGGATACAAGTCATACATTAACTTTATGCAAAACAAGAAACTTTTAAACATGTTTAATATTATTTCTTGCTTATTTCAAATGTCTTAATTAAGCCAGTAACTTCAATTGGAAAGAAGTAATCAACCAGTGCTTACAGCCCTCTAAGTGTTCACATAGCATACCGAGCCTTTAATGCTTCCCTGAAATTTTCATGAGAGAGCACTGAGAATAAGATAACAGGAGCATGAAGAAAACTAAGATTTAGAACTGGTACATATACTCTATATTGTATTTGTATTGCAGTTTACCTGGGACGAAAATGTACAGACCAGGAAGTCTGCCTGAGACAAAAAGTGAATATCCAGAATAACACCTCTTAGGGAGTTTTCAGTGTATCGGTTATGAAGTCCTGCTGACCAGGATATGGAGTTATCACTGATAAATTCGTAATTTGGATACCTGTGAAAATACAATACACTGTTAACAGCCAAGTCTAATTCTATTTTTTTTAATTATTTTCTTTTTAAGAAGCATCAGCTTTGCTGCAAGATAAGGTTGTTAATTTGTTTTAAGTGAGTCTCTGCTTTACAGGGAATGAATTATAATTTTGCTGAACACTCTAGAATGTTACTGCTGCCTCCAAGCATGCCTTCTCTTTATCCGGAAAAAAAAAAAATTAAATAAAAAGACGCTGTAAGTCTGACAGATCTTAAATGTATAAGTGAAAATATATCAGGAAGTACCTGCCACATTCTGCTAATGCTACTGATTTTAGATGAAATGTATTTAGATCCCTTCGCTTTCTCTACTACTAAACAGAATATGGGATTGTGTCCTTACTAGACTATATTTTGTTTATTATCATACTCTCTATTAGATACTGATTATGACACTGTCCAAGAAAATCAGTCACCTGTAAAAGGGACATATTAAATAAACAAATCTAAACTAACCAAAAAAAAAAAAAACCAACCAAAACGGTCTTTCACCATTATTAAGGCCACGTGGAGAACAAATTTTGCAATTTACTGGTCAAAAGGAAATAAAAAGACATGTAAAATTTCATGTCAATACACCTTTCTTAACATATCATAAACAAAATAGTAATACTTTAAGTCAAAATATTTTTATTTGAAATATAAAACCTTGTTTTATATTATTCTAAAAATAAAATTGACAGTTTTTAACATGTAACAATGACTTCAAAAGAAAAAAAAACCTTTTTAAAAACATTGAAAAAAAAATGGTCTTTTCTCAAAACATTTGTTGCCCTTTACTGGGGAACTGAAATTTGAAATAAATTGCAAAAAGTAGCACGAATTAATTAAATTTTCAGTCAGCTTCCTACCAAAAAATAAGTTTTATATGAAAAATTCCAGGTAGATGTAACAAAGATGATAATTACATTGCTGTTACACAATAATTATATCTCAATCATGAAGTGCAATTCACATGACTAACCTACCAACTACAAAACTTTAACTTTTTAACTTTAACCCTTTTTAATTTAAGGGTTAATTATAAAATAATTTAAATAAAATCTATTTTTCAAATTAAGTAAGACAGTAAGACAGCTGATATTACATTTGTGAGAATTAATCATTCTTATACTGTTTAATAAAGAAAATCAGAATATAAAGCAGAGACCGTAATGCTGGAGCAACAATAAATTAGACCTGTAACTAGTTGCTTCAAAGCCTGACAGTCCTGTGCTGGACATTGCTCAAAATAAGGTTTACACTCACGAGTTCTTGGAAAGTTACTGAAGTTAGCACGCACTTGTATACAACAACGCAGCATGTGCATATACTCTGGACACATGGTAGACATGATTATGACAACCTCTTGTAAGAATATGCCTAATTTATTCAATTTTCATGTTAAAACTATGGGAAACTGTTTTCAAAAGTGAAATGGGCAAATATATTAGGCTTTTCCATCTAACATTCACTAGCCAAGACTATCAAATCAGGAAATTTCTCTCAAGAGCGAATCAAAAAGACGTATGCAAAACTTCTACGTTTGAGGAAGAATTTTAATTTATCTTCATAGTGATTTTAATAGAATTTTATGTTCCCAAGAGAAACACCTGCTCTAACAAAAAATAATATATGTATGGTAAATTTCCCAGAGATAGCATGACAACTTTAAAGGGTGCATCTGATCATGAATGTCAGGGGAAGTTCATGTTACATTAAAAACAAGACAGAACAAAACAAACAAAAAAAAAAGGAAGGAAGAAATGGTGGAAATATTATTCATTTGGAATAACTGATAAGACCTCTTCTGAGAAGTTATAGAAGCATATGGATCAAGAAATAAGTGTTTTCAAGATCATAGAATCATAGAATCATTAAGGTTGGAAAAGACCTCTAAGATCATCGAGTCCAACCGTCAACCCAACACTACCATACCCACTAAACCACGTCCCTAAGCACCTCATCTACACGTCTTTTAAATACTTCTAGGGATGGTGACTCCACCACTTCCCTGGGCAGCCTGTTCCAAGGCCTGACCACTCTTTCAGTAAAGAAATTTTTCCTAATGTCCAACTCTATCACAATAATCATTTTCTTTCTTATCCTCTCATGTCTAACATTTTTTGTCAATATTTAACCAGCTCTCAAAATACAACAGATGACAACACAATATCTGTGATATATTCTATTTCTGTTTCCATTGTATGAATCATATCAGTATTTTTTTAAAAGAAAAAAAAGTACAGACCAAATGGAAATATGTCATACTCTACTGTGAAAACTAGCTGAGGAACAAAGATGGGCATCAGTCTTATTTCAGTGACACAACTCTGAGGGGAGCAACATGAAGAACATTTAACAGAAGATGTCATTTCTAAGGACAGTGAACATAGTAAAGACATTTGCACACCCCTTTGCAAGTTCTTGGCATCAGAAATACTGCTAAAATTAATCGCTTCCTTCAGACTTCAAAAATCAGTATCCACATGCTGAGTAGAGACAAAAGAACCTTTCTTGAAGAATCTGAGTTCTTACTAGCAAAAGATTAGTCTAATAACTTAACAAATGAAGCACACCAAAAAAAGTGTAATACTGGATCTGCTTAAAAAAAAAAGCCACCAAAAAAACCCAATCAGAATTATTTACACATCTTCTTATGCATATATTTACAATTTTCTCCTTCTTCCCTTTATTCTAGAAACAGTCTTTGAGATACTTTTAAATCTGGTCTTCAATTCCATTTTGTAAAGTTGATCCAAATTCACCTAACCAACAATTTCAGAACCCATTTCTTCAAACCAGTGATCAAAGCTTAGCATTTATCTACTCACATGTTTAAGTTTTCAAACAAGCACTTTTATGTTGTCCCATACACACAATGCTATATTCATGCTTGGGAAGAGGTTTCTTTTAAACACTCTAAAATGTGAGTATAATACCAGCCATATTCAGTGTGACCAAAGAATCTTCTAGTCCACCATCCTTTCAACACAGGCTGAAAGCAGAGCATAAAGAAAAATACAGTAAAAGGCCAAGTCTATACTCCTCTCAAGCTTAGCCATATGTGGCCCACTGACTTCCTGCACCAGGTGAGGTTTAATTCTCCTTCCCACTCACTACAGTGCTTTAGATTCTATTTAAAGCTATTCTTATCACAATGACTACAAAGAGTAAAGGAAATGAAACTCCTAAAGCTCTATAGTTAGCTCTTGCTTCCTTCCATTCCCTTTTCCATCTGTATTTATATTATGACTAATGTAATACTTTACAATGTAAGCTTTTGGGGAATTTTTTTTCTTTTTAAGCAGAATTCAGGCACGATCCTATTACTAGGATTCCTGAATGTGTGGTAAATGAATAATAAGAAGATGTCATATTCTTACTGACAGAATCACCTAAATACAGTATTTTGTAGGATCCTTCCTAGCTTTCCAAAGAAATTACCCACATATTCTCTTCTCCGTAACAGGAAAGGACCAGACTGTGAAGATAAAACCAAAGAATGGAAACTGGCATAATACTGTTTTCTTTGTATCGGACTACATGTATGTAGTATATCTCCTCCACATATCTAAAAATAATATCTAATTCTTCTAAAGCTACCTAATAGATTCTTGAAACCTATATACAGGCCAGGAAGGATTTTTTTTTTTTTTTTTTCCTGAAGGAAAGGGGAAAAGAAGAAATCAGAAGAAGGTGGAGAAGAGAGAGTTTAAAATCTTTCCTTTCTGCACCTATCAGCCTCAGATAAGGATACAAACCAAGCACAGTTATGAGACTATTTCAAGTTCCAATTGGTTTCAGAAGCTGATCAACTAGTTGTGTAACTACAGCTTATCGCTATGCTGTGCAGCAGGTGCAAACCAAGGCGAGTCCCAGGCTCCTGTTCTCAATTCGCTAGGACTGGGGAAGTGTCCAGAACAGGCAATGCAAGTTTTCTTCCCTCTGAAAGAGGAGTGTGAGCATGTGTGTAAACAGATGGAGTAAGAAATAACGTATTTGTTCAGGTCTTGCTCTAAAAAGAATTGGAAAATGTATGAGCTGTTGATCAGACTCAAGAACTTCGAAGTACTACTCAATTCTATACACTAGGCATACTATGACTTGGGGGCAGGGAGGGTTGCAACAGCTAAACCAGAGATAGTACACAGGCAGAAAAGACATTAACTTGCTATCGTGGAAGTAAACAAACAGTGAAATCAGATGGAAAAAAAGCTTTCATAAGTGCTGAAAAAAAACCTCACAAGGGAGGCAAATAATGAAAAACCAAAATACAGATGACTTTACCGGTAAACATCCTGAAAGGAAGAATGTGATTTGTTGAATTTTAGTGCTCATACACATGAGAAAGAGACCTAATTAGATTCATATATAAACCAGAAAGGTATTAAATATGGTTTCTTAAAAATTTATATGCGTGTTCAGCTGCATTATATTGAATACTCTACCTTAAAGAGTGAAGATGCTGTCAATAACATTACAGACTAGAAATACATATACTAGAAATTCAAAAGTTTATATTTGAAAACTATTAAATCAGCCAAAGTACAAGCAATTTACACCACCCCTATCACCTATATAAGACAAATACCATGACTTCTGCTTACCAGAAGTTGTCAAGTGCTTTAATCCTATAATCATTACAGCTGTTGAACTCTCAGCCATGCTCCTCTTTAACCATGTTGCTCTATATCATCCTAATTCTGAAAACATATCACTTCTTTCTTTTTTTTTTTTGGAAAACAAAACAAACAAAAACACTCTACAAACTGATAGTACTGACTCCACTGTCTTTACTACCGTACTTGCAGTTGGCAGACATCTGACTGCAAGGGAAGTTTCTGAAACAAGTCAAACATTTCTGTTTTCATGACTATGAATAGTTTGAAATACTTCTCTTAATAGAAACAACATGCCTATCCATGTGAATGTTGGCTAAATTTTCATTATTTAAATGCCAATGTTGTTTGACAGCAACTCTCATGTAAAGACAGGTATAATATCTAGTATTTACTAATATTACTGCACCCGATAATGGATGCAACAAAAGTTACTGCAGTACAACGTGACAGCTGTTTCTATCAAAGCTTGGTAGTTCAATTGACTAGAACTTTTTTGTCAGAAGTGTAAACTAATTTGTAGTTTTCTTCACAAGAAGAGGAAGAAAAGGTTCTTTATCCCCAAAACCTGACCTTAACCTGCCTTCAGATGCCCTTAAATGCTAAAACACCAAATTGCATCGTGCCTTCTATGAAATCACAGGAAGTTTCAAATGCCTTCTACTCAATTGCAAGCAATGGTAGGGTGCAAGCAACTTAGGAAATTATGTTTCAGTGTAAACTATGACCTGAAAACTCAACAGCAACAGATAAAAAATTCTTCACTACTTACAGATTCTATGGCTTTTAATAAGAAAACGTACAGAATGAATGCTGTTTTTACATAGGTAGTGCATCTCATTATTATTCACAAAGCTAAAGTATACAGTGCTAAGGATTGAAAGTTGAAAACAAATAAAGAAAAACTGCATAACTAAGATTGTTACAGCAATATTGAATTCTGTTATGTTACAAACAGTAATTAAAGTTATTTAGGACAATGAAATGAATTAAATATTATAACCTCAATTTTATATTACCTGTCTTTTCATTGTTCAGATTTGCACTTTAAATGTTATGTTATCATAATTGTTTCTGCTACTGTTCTTGGCTCTACATATACAAAAAAGGAAGGATTAGATTGCCATCATCTGGAGTTGTGTATGTTCGTTTAGTTTTTTCAAAACTCCATAATTTTAAACAGCAGCCCTTTATAGATATGAAAGAAAAATAGAAATAGCACAATTGAAATACACAGGTTTGCAACGCTGTAGAAAATTCCTCTACTACAAAATAACATTTTCTTCTTACCTTGTATATGCCAAAGAAAATTTGTAATCCAGTATGTTATCTTACATATTTTTTCCAAGCATGTCTACCAAGAATAAAACAGTTCAAAAATTTGCCATTTTTGAGTCACCTCAATTTTAAAAAGTCTTAATTTCCTTGCTTAAATGGAAAAATATGTATTCTTCTGCTCAAGGGAGATAAAATTTCAGAAACAGAAATAGGTGCTATTCAGTAGACAAATAAATAAATAGTACTCAAAAGGAAAAGATGCTAATGCATCTGAAATACTTATCCAAGTTTCCATAGTCATGGCAATAAGCATTTGTGAAATTGTTTATATGCCATAAACACCATAACGCAAGAAAGATACAGTTAAATATGGAACATTATTCTTCCATATACGTCTGCTTTCTTTTACTAAACAGAAGGTTTTGCCATCTCAGTGACACCTTACAAAACATGCAACTTAACTTAACAGTGAGTTTTTACAGGAAAATACAGGCCATATTAAGAGTAAATGGATGCATACTGTGCATTTCCAGGTTTGAACACAGTTACATTTTCTATGACAGGCTGGGATAGCCTATAGCTAGGGTACGTTGTTACACCCATGTTCTGGAAAGCTAAAAGAGGACAAAGAGCAAAAAAGGGACAGAGACAATGTTACAGATCGAGAATCCCACATATATTTAAGGACAAACTTTAAGATTATTCAACATGTAGGGTGAAAGTCTTCTAAGTTGTCAATACAGAAATCTTTCTGAAAGAGTCATCAGAAGCTTTTCAACCAACTTATAAAAATTTCTCTGGCAACTATTCACAGAGAAGTATTCTCTGGACAGGTGAAACTTCTTAATACATTAACTAGTTTTTCAAATATTTCTGAATAGTTTCTTTTTAATATGTATGTTCTAAGTTTGATGTATTTATTATTTATGTTTTTACTTCCCTTTTACGGCATTGGTTTGTTTTTGAATAGTCACAGGTATCTTGCTCAACTCTTCTAGATTTTTAACATTAAGCTTTGAAAAGCATACTTGGGAAAAAAAAACCATCCAAAAAAGAGAATGTCTGAGAGAAAAATCAAAATCACTGGAAGCTGAAATGCAATCTTAACTGTATAAATGGTAACAAAAAAAATTATACTAAGATTTGTGTGCACAAGTCAGAAATTGTAAAGCTAACGAGAAGGAACAAACTGTAATATAAACGTAATTCATCTTACTTGGATTTTGCCTCTTGCAACAACGAAGGGTCATCTGTAGCCAAATACACTCTTTTTTTATCAACATGCATTCTGCGAGCAAGAAGTTCAAATCGCTCTTCAACATGTACCATATATTCTTCAATAGGATGAAATGCTGCCTCTGTTCCTACTTTGTCTGTCCTTCGAACGTGAACACTGGAAAAAGGCAGAAACTAGGAATTCAATTTATAAATACAATACGTGCTTTAGCGACTGAAATTTTAACTTTAAATTTCATGCCTGTGCTTTTAGAATGCATATTAAATTGAATCCCTACATAAAACAAGGAAGGATTAAAACTCATTGATGTCCATCAAGACACACTGACAAGTGAAGTTAGCTGTCAGTCTGTTCTTGAAAGCAATATAATAATCTTGCAAGAAAGGCAAAGGGTAACTTTGAAAGAAAAGAATGAAGGAGATTTAATTGTAGCATATAAGGTATTCCTTTTGTGCAGAAGGTTAAGTTATCCGGTGTAGTTAGATAATGCTTGATCAATACAGTTCAAAAGCAAAATAGGAATATTTGCATCACGGACATACTGGGACACCAACTACAGTGCAGGGTTTGAATGAAGGTAGTTAAAAATGCATCTTCCCCATCTGCTTGAAACCTAACAAGTCTTCAGATCCACTAGTGGTGAAGTGGCCTACCAACTCAATGGGCAAAAGCCAACGAACATTTGGACAGAACTATTGTGTACTCCTACAAAAAGAAAGATTAAGGATTGGAGGAAAATTCTGGCAAGGGAAGCAATATTTGCAGCCTTTAGTATAGCAGCAGCAAAATTTTCCATGTTACATGACAGTAAAACTTTTCTTCCTCAAGCTGCTCTTTATTGCCCATATAGGTGCTTCCCTTCCTTCTCCCCATATCTCCCCATACAGACCTTTCCAATTCATAGTTACTGCTAAGAAACAACAATTAAAGGGAAAGGCACATACCATGTTCAGGTGCAGCCAACAATAAAATTAGTTGTGGACTGTGGCATGTAAAATGTAGGCTTAGCCTTTTTTCCTCAAATGTAAAGGCTATAGGCACTTGAAAAGAAGACCCAGACAGAAAAGTGTCTGGAATACAAGCTGTAAGGCAATTACATGAATGAAATTCTGTATTACATTTCTAGATATGGAAGGACACATAAAAAAACCTTCTATTGAGCCACCTTTTATATATCTGTCCAACTATAGGTAGGCAAATATGCTGAAGAAGCACTTGTAATCAACTTGTATTATGCACAGTTAAAAAATAATACCTTCATCCAGACAGCACCCTCTCTCCCCACAAAATGCTTGAGGCTCTTGGACAACCATCATAAAACAATTTGTCCTGAACAGGAATCACTATATATACATATTAAAGCACAGACAGTTAAAAAGAAAACTAAATACCCACCCGATCACTGGATGTTTGAAACCAAGTTTCCTTGTGGCTTCCTCTATTTCTTTTTCTAACCAAGGCTGTGGACGAATCAAGTATTTCACAAACTGCGAGACCCACCACACTGCAGGATCCCCATGTACACGAATTAGCCTATCAGCCAGGTCTTCGGGGATAGCCAACGGTAAATAAGGTGGCCGTGGGTGTAAGCTGTCAACAATGGGAAGTTCCACCACCTGAACATCCTTATCATTAGCCTCACCTGTTTTAAAATACATTACTAGGATGAGTCAAGTAGTTTACTTTATTAATAAGGTTTACCATTGGCAAGTAACATCCCAAACATATCAGCTAAACTGTATCTTTAACCTCAAAAAGACTACCTAACCCTTGCTCTACTTTTTCAAAATAGCATTAAAAAAAATTAATAAAAATAATAGTTTTAGATTAGATTTATGTACAAACTATCTAACAATCCACTCCAGTAGAATAAAGTTGAAGATCCCTGAATTCTTAGCAGTTCGTAGTTAATAAAATATAAAAAGCATTCCTGTTCATATATGCATACCTTTTTATATACAACTACACCGTTACTGTGTGCTAAGGCTTACTTGGACAGACTTGTTATCTAAAATGCTTAAAATTCAGTTACTTGTTTAAAAAATAAACAAATATTTTCAGGCATAGGAAATTGTTAAAAAAATAACTATACAGCCCTGCTGCTCTTTTGAATACATTTTATTGCAGTAAATCTCGGCATTTCAGACACCATTAGAACCACTGAATTAGCTACTCTATTGACAGAAGGGGAGAAAGGACAGAAAGACAGACAATTCCTGTCTTGAAGAACTTAAACTATGAAGATAAGTAGCAAATTAAACAGATCAAGGAAAACAGCCAAGCACTATACAAACATGTGATTTACGTACAGGTAAAAATTTGTTATCTTTTAAATACTAACTAAAGGGGAATGTACAGATGTTTTAGATGGGACTTTCATTCAATGCTCAATAGCCACTAAACATTTTTTAAGAGTTTTTACAAATTACACTAATATAAGTGTCTACATAACTGATAATTCAAAGCTATTTTCATATACTGAAATAAATTATAATACATGACAACGTAATACAAAGCATTACATTTTTGAAACATTGAACATTTCAGGTAAGATTTCTAGTGTGCTCATTTCCTCCAAAAGAGTATTTTCATTGTCTGCAGTGTTTACTGGCAAAGATGGGTAGTTCTCTATTTAGTGCTCATCAGCCAGGAAAGAAAACTGTTTTAAATATAAGCAAATCAAAATCATATAATTGTTGATGACCAAGTAAACCTAATGGCTGAAAAAATCAATTCAGTGCAAGGATAACGAGTCTTATTTTAAGAAGTTAAAAATCGCTAAGGTTAGAACACTTTTGCACGCACTAAAAATCATTTCAGTGTATCTATGACAAAGTCCTAGAAATGTGACAATTGTATGGTTAAGTCATAGATTGCCAGAATGCTACATTAACACCAGTGAACCTACCGAAACTAGTCAAAGTTCAGCAGTAACTTTCTGAGATACGGTTATTTAAATAAGGAATGTTCGTTATGATCAGGTATATTTTCAATTAATTTTTAATAGATTTGGAAAATCTGTCTTCACAGATGTATCTATATGTTAATATTTCATCACTGCACTGTATAAAACCACTATATATATATAAAGACATCTTTTAGAAGAATTTCCCATAGAGTATGTACTGCAGGTATGGATGATACTTTTTAATTCAAGAAGCCAATTCATATTTTTAGCATCTATTATATCACACTTGCAGGAAAAGATTTCATAAAAGTTCATAAATTTAGTAAAAATACTGAGCATTTAAGTTTTCTTATGATAAGATGGATAATATTTTATCAGTATGTCTTCAGAAAGCTGCAATAAAGAAAAGCAGCCTGAAGCCAGGGAAGTGCTAAATCTGGTGCAGATGTGAAGTATTAGACAAGAAACGTTTAGCTTGGGAATGGTATGAAAGAATGCTTGAGGTTCCATCCTTTTTACCCTTTCCCCCTCAATTGAGAGTGGGGGAAGGAACAGGGTGGCAGAAGCAGCAATAGCAATCTTAGCCAAGAGAAGAAAGAGAAGACTCCAACCTTAAGTTAGAGAATGAAATTTGCTGCAATTCTTTTGAGAAAAAGCAGAGATGCTATGGTGCATACAAAAAGGTGAATTTTTATAAATATGGTATCATTGACAAGTTTTTAAACTTCATTCTATCATTGAAAAAATATGTTGTTGCATAAAGACAGCCATTTGGAAAGTTTTGCTATTGATAAAGCTGATTGAGCGATCTGTCACACTATTTGGCATTCTGACCCTGAAAAGCACCCAATACATTGTTCCATACTATTCAAAGGATAAGAGTGTGCTTCTAAAAATTTCCACGGGCTGCCTTAAGGTTTTGAAGAAAACGAGACTGGCCAGCAATAACAAGGATAGCTCTCAGCATATAGCAAATTAGATTAAAATATACCAAAATCACAAGAATACCAAAGACATCTGTGGAAAAAAAAAAAAAACAGATTTCAGCTTTCAACTGTATGTGATATGTTGTTTGAATAGTAATGAAGTTGCAAAAGACTTGCTGTGAATCAAAATCAGAAAGAAACAAAATGTATTTTATTAAGGCAAAACAAACAATTTGGTTGTGCAAAATTAACTACTAGGTTAAGTGTTAATGAGTGCACTTTGAGATACAGAAAACTACTTTTTGAGAAGGAACTGAAAATATCATATGTTTATTTCACAGAGAAGATTAAGAGTTCTTTACTTTGTAAAACTACGCAATATGAGACCCAACAAGGGAACTATCACTGAAAGTATGGGTAACAAATGTAAAGTCATAAAATGAAACATTCACAAATACAAATCAAAGAATGTGTTGTTATTATAATCAGAAATTTTGAAATGGTTACAGAAGCTCCTCATGCTTCAGGACTTTTGCCAGTTACTAAGTGTTGACAACATAATTCTGACACACACAGTGTTTTGTTGAGACAATGCATGTAATTGTTTAAAAACAAAATTTAAAAAATCGAACGATCAATGTGATCATCATTATATTCAACAATGCTGTACTTTGTTAACGGTTTACATAAAATTAGAAGTGGGCAAGTCCACTTAATCCAAACACACAAACTTCTGATAAAGCACGGCCATTTAACATCACTGATTAGGACATCTGTGTAATCAAACACGCAGATGTGTGAACAATTCTAGGAAACTTTTTGACAACTTTCTAGTTTTTATTACCTTTATTATCATTCTGAACAATGAAGAAAAAACTTCCTATTTGTCTTCACTCACTTTAAAAAGTATGAGATAGCAGATGCAGTAAAAGGAAAACTTACAGCAACTATTTGCTTTTGTCCTGGATGAAAACAGTGAAGAGTAACTCTTTAGTAACCTGAAGGAGTAAACAACTCCCTGCAACAGCCATGTAGGCAAGTGACAGCTTTCTTATCCTACTAATCACTTTTTTTTTTTTCAGTGTTCGCTGAAAGATTCCTAATAGGCAATGATCTTGTCCTATTTTCAACAGGCATAGTTTAAAAAACTTTCATGGAAATTTTGGATAGCAGGATATTGTTTTAGTTTACTCAGAAATAAGCTGCAATCAAAATCATTGATACAGTAGATAACCAAAACTCAGTCAGATTGATAGGCAAGCATACACATTACAAAAACATTAAGTCAAGTTCTTGATAGATATGAACTGTAGCTGTTCAACTGAAGATAGTGAAGTTGGGTTAAAAATAAGAATGATCTTTTCATTCACACATTTCTTCAGTTTTTAGCTATGTATTCTCTAAATTTTAAAATACCACAGTTCTTCCATTTCCCAGCTGTATTTTGTTAAATAATAGATAAGCCATAAAAGGTAATAATCCCTACTAATGCTTATATGTTTTTCTCATGTTGATAGTCCAAATCACAGTATCATCATGTCAATCAAGTCCAATTCCCTGCTCAGTGCAGGTCCAGCTTTGACATTTGATCACAGAAGCTTAGAATTACTTAGGTTGGAAGATGCCTCTAGAGTTGTTATAGGTCATTTACATTTCAGCAACGCTTCAAGCTACTTCTTCCAATGTGATTTTATTTTGCTATTACAGTTGCCATAATTTGCCTCTATAATTCTATTTATAGCTTGTTTAAGTTTCATACGATTCCAGGTGCTATTTTTCAGTTTGGATTAACCTAAATAATTGTCCTCCAAAGTTCTGCAACTTAATCCATTTTTCCTTCACTGAGTGATCAAAAGATCAAGTGTTTTTCTAATAGTCATAAAGTACTGCAATAGTGGTAACACTCACTCTTATCATAACAACATACTCCGGAGGAAAATCACAGACTTGTGAAGAAATTTATTTTTATTTAGATGACCCATGCCAGTTGCACCAGCTAGTTCTTATTTATCACCATTTTTTGGATATGTTCATCACTAATAGATCGGTAATACAGTTTCAATTTCCGGGAGTCCCACTGATTATTTTTTAAATACTGAAATGAGCTCTGTGTGTTACAAAAAACATAACTTTGTTTCCCTGCAGTATCCCAATGTGCCTTAATTGCTTACTTTATAGCTCACAGGACTTACATAATTTTTCATGATTTAGCACAATCTTACTGCCTGTCTACTTTTCAGATGTAACCTTTGCCCTCCTAATTTAAAGCCCCTTTAGAGACTTTTACTATTTGTATCTTCTATATCAACTTCTTTGAAGCGTGAAAAATGTTGGTTTGGCTGAAAAAGACCTTTGAAATTTTGTCATTTTACATTATCTTACTTCCTGCCATCTGAACATTGGCTCACACCTGCATTTGGATCAGCATTTTTGTTGGGTGTTCATTACTTTGCATGGCAAAATGTCGACCTCGTTTCAAGTAACAATCAATACTATAAGTTAATGTTAACTGAAAATCTGTTTGAGTGCTTTATTCATTCTCCTATTATTTCAAAATTAGTCATCTAATTTCAAAGTATTCTTTCAAGAAGTTGTCCTTAAAAGTATGCCAAGGAGCACTGTGCTAAGGACATTCCTGTTGTGTAAATTTAATTTCAGTTTGGGTTGCTAGAAATACAACTGAATAAACTCAAATAACAATGGAATAGCTTCACCGCTTTTCAGTTTTTATAATATACTTATTTAAGCTGATATCAACTTGCATAGACTAAACACAGCTCTACTTAACTAAGCTCTACAAACTGAAAG